TACCATAACACTTTGTACAATATCACCTTATAACCATAAGAATACCTTCACGTATTTACCTTCACATAGTACAACAACACTTTATAATTTGATAACACTTTAATTCAATAGATAATGCCTTTAAGGCCATATTCATAATACAATCCATAATTAAACACCTCCACCATAAGTGGATCAAACCAAGCAAGAACAATTATGCCAATAATATGAGATCAAGCCAACTTACAATCCTCCAAAGCCATCCTCAACATTAATCAATAGATATAGAAAATCATAAACATCAACAATACAATCTATTCTAAGCATAATTTCATCAATACCCAATCATTATCAACAAACCCATTTCGTAAGTCAAATATAGAAATTTGTGAAATCAAGGGTTCATGAGATTTTTCACTTGAAAACATCAACTTAATATCAACAATATCACAATCCATCATTTAAAACCATTTAATGCAAGAACCCTTGAGTGGAGTAAGAAATAGAAGTCTTTCATAACTTTTGAGAATTCGAAAACCCTGTGAAATTGGCTCTAAAGAGAAAACTAGCTTTAGATAAAGAGTCACCATACCTTAGTATTGAGAAAACCCACGAAAATTTGATGGAAGAAACCTTCAATTCGAAACCCTAGTTGCCACATCTTCTTCTTCCTTGAGCTTGAGAGGACTTTTAGAGAAAAGAAATTTTGGGGGTTTTTAATTTTGAAGAATGAATTCAAAAAAATACTCTTTTAAAAGTTTTAATACCATATAGAGTTATTAGAAATAAAATAAAATATACCCACTTCTTGATTTAACTAAAATTAATATTTACGAAAACGCCCCTTGCTTACATGGACTTATCAAATAAAACTAAGGCAACGTCCAATTTTTTTTTTGGAAAGTTTCATAACTCCAATTTATGCTTAAACTTTAAAAATTCATACGTTAGGCTCTAGTTTCACCTATCTATTTTTAGGGTCGCTACAGCTGTAAAGAGAGGCTGGGATATTTTCCAATTAGATGTGAACAATGCTTTTCTTCATGGAGATTTGCATGAGGAAGTTTACATGGAGGCACCTCAGGGTCTTGCTCTTGATAAACCAGGGTTGGTGTGTAGATTAAACAAGTCTCTTTATGGTTTGAAGCAAGCCAACAAGCAGTGGTATGCAAAGTTAGCAGAAGCACTTTCAATCAAAGATTATGTACACTCAGAAAATGACTACTCTCTTTTCCATAAGAAAACCAGTTCCTCTACTATTTTTGTAGCTGTGTATGTAGATGATGTAATAATTACTGGGACAAATTCTTTGGAAATAGAGAACCTAAAGGTTTTCCTCCATGCAACCTTTAGGATCAAAGATTTAGGGAAGTTGAATTACTTCTTGGGCATGGAAATTCTTTATACTACTGATGGTGTCCTTATTTCACAAAGAAAGTTTGCATTGGACTTACTTAAAGAATATGATTTGTTCGACTACACCTGTTTGTCCTCTCCACTTGATCCAGATGTCAAACTTAAAGCAAAAGAAGGCCCTCCCCTTCCTGATCCATCTTATTACAGAAAACTGATTGGGAAGCTGAACTTCCTCACAAATACTAGACTGGACATTGCCTATAGTGTTCAACACTTTAGCCAATTCATGCAGGATCCAAGAGAGCCTCACCTTCAAGCTGCTATTCACCTACTTAGACATCTGAAAAAGGATCCTACCCTTGGTATTTTTATGTCGAAAAACAGTGACTGCAGAGTTAAAACTTATTGCGACTCAGACTGGGCTGCATGCCCTGATTCTAGAAAATCAGTCACTGGTATATTGTTCTTCTAGGAGACAGCCCTGTGAGTTGGAAATCAAAGAAGCAAGAAACTGTGTATTTGTCTTCAGCAGAGGCCGAGTATAGATCTCTTAGAAAAGTGGTGGGTGAATTAGTATGGCTAAGCAGACTATTTGCAGAACTTGATATTCCATTTCCTTCTCCCGTTGATGTTTTCTGCGACAGCCAGTCTGCTCTTCACATTGCCAGAAATCCAGTATTCCATGAGCGAACTAAACATATCGAGGTTGACTGTCACTTCGTAAGGACTAAGTTGCAGGAAGGTCTCATTGCCTTGCATCATGTTACCACTGTGGATCAACTAACAAACATTCTCACTAAAGCCCTCACATGAGTCTCTCATCTATCCATTCTCAGCAGGTTGGCCGTACGTTCCTCCCTTCCAACTTGGGGGGGGGGGGGTATTGAAGTATTAGAGTAGCTATAGCTTAGACTAGATAATTATGTATTCTGTATAGTAGTCAGCTGATGTGATTAGAATAGTTGGTTAGAAAGTTGTTAGTTTGTTAAGGTAGTTACAGCATCAACTTCACATTACATGTACATATATAAACCTCACTTGTGGTAGATAATTCAATATACAGTTTTCATTTTACAAATTGCTTTTTCATTCTCCCAACAATGGAGTCGATTACTCCATTGAAGCTCAACATTGAGCTGGATTGAATTTGATAGTTTACCTTACTGGATCCCCATTCTGAGTGTTTTAAATTGAGCAACTTTCACATATAGCAAACACAAAATTCATATTTGTATGCTATAGCCAAGTTTGCATAATTGCGCTTCATAGCAAACATAAATATGTATATTTCGCTATACATATACAAAAGAAAGCAGTTGTATAATCTGCTTTGGTATACATATACAAAAAGATCAATTGTATAAAGTGAGAGAGGCGAGTGAGACAGCAAGATCTGGGAGAGTGGCGAGCGAGATCTGGGAGAGGGGAGAGAGGGGAACGAAAATATATGTATATATACAATTTTCTCTCACTTTATACAAACACAAACACACTTTATACACTTGTGTTTGTATATAAAACAAGAGAGGCGAGGGAGAAAACGAGAGTGGCGAGTGAGATTCAGCAGGAGAGAAGTGAAATAACAACAGTTTGGTATGAGGTACAATTAAATCAAACCATATTTATATTATTTAATTTGAATTAATAGTTTGCTATATATACAATTTTCCCTTTTAAATTTGACCATTCCAAGTCCTACATTAAATATCGTATTCTTTATTTTAAATTGTAACGTTAATATATTAAACAATATGAGTATATAATAAATGGAAATTATATTACTCTTATTTAGAAATGGGAGT